CATCGGAAAGGTCTTCAGAAAGGGTTTAAAAATCTTCGTTAGCGGAGTTTAATCGAAATGGACCAAAGAGTTTTATGAATAAGATGTGTTATGTGTTAAACTGATTATTTCATTACTAATTTTAATATTTTTATAAATCTTTTAAATTATCAAGTTCACACACAAAACCTTAAATATTCTTGTTTTTGTAGCTGAACTTTGCAATAGAACTTTCTTCCGTATTTTTCTGCTTTTATCATCTATCTCGGGGTCAATTGAAAAAAATTTCAGATAGACTAGGATGGGCTAGAAGCCATTGTTAAGTGTTTAAGTACCGGACATATTATATGTAGCTCGCGATGTATTTCTACAACTATTCAGTAGGTAACGTTGATGGTACCTGTCCTCTTATCAACATAACTGAATTCACAGTCATCCACAACTTGTTTTAAATTTACGAACTCATTTTAAATCTGATTACTAGTAGGTATGCATTTACTAACTTGCTGGATAGATCGTGGATAAAATAAATTACTTCATTGATTAAAACAGTAAGTCACAGATTATATTGAATATTGATGCTATTGTGGTATGTGTGATTGATGTCGAGAGATATAAGTAATATGTATCACCAGTCGAAAGTAAAATGTCTGGCGGCAGAAAATTGATAAAATCGAAGAGAAGAGAATGATCGGTATGGAAGCGAAGGAACAACAAAGCCTGATGAATATTTGCAAATGAAGTATTTACTTTTGATGGAGTTTTGTTCTCTGAGCTGAATGGTTTGGTCGTAGAGTTTTAATCGTTATTCTGAACTATGTCATCAGCACGAACTTCAGGTAGAAGTAAAGTGTTCATCTACCTGAGCTACAAATCTTCTCTACCATCTAGAAGTATTCACTTTATGGTTCTAAGATTTTATCAAGAATTTCTGTAATATTGTATTAAAGTACATTTAGTTGTCCCCACCTGTGTTCTCGTTCACTACATTATTACTAGAATTATCTAAAGTTGAAAATATAAACAATAAAATCTCAACTCACTGGTCTAAAAGTAACATCTATACCAAAAGATCAGAAAATCTTCAGCTCAACTCCTTTTATTATTGTGAATAGTTACAATTAAAGACACCTTAAACTAGAGCGAAACAACGAGACAGTGAATTTTTATAGTTTCTTTTGTTTCTTCAGAGAATCTCAGTTTGTAACAAAATTTAATTTTAACTTGAGAAATTCCTTTTTACAATGATACAACTATAATTATTGAACTTTTCACAAAACAACCACTACTTTTTTTTAATTTAAGCATTAATAAAAGTTCAAGATAGATGAAGATAATCAATTTAGGAAGTATACACTCATCACGTGATATGAATGATTATAATTTATTTTCTACCTGATATTTGTTACCTTAGTTACTAAAAAAGCTAATACAATAATGGTATTCAGATCACATTACCATTTATATTGATTAATTCCTAATGAATTTTGTCTTAATAGTTGAATTTATGAGTCAATGTAAGCTAGACCACCAAAGAAAACCCAGAAACATTGGACGGCCGTTTCTTCCTAGTACGGGACTCCTCATCAACACGCGCTAACGATCCTGCTAACAGGACTCGAGTCCAGGAGCTTTGGTCTTGCTTGTGACTGCTCAACCTCTAGACCACTGATCCGGCATTCAATAGTATTGATGTCTAACTTCAATAGATCCATGATCTTGCGCAGTCCTTTATCCATGGTCTGAGGTAAATAACTGCATCCATACTAGGACAAAACGGCCGTCCAGTGTTTCCATGTTTTCGTTGGTGGTCTACCTTATATCGACTCATGAATCCAACTATTAAAATTACTACAATCTCCACAAACCTCTATTCTAGTTCTGTTTTAATTTGAAGTTTTATGAGTAAAACTATTATTGTAAAAGATATTAAGTAAAATAATCAGTCAATAATTTACTGAATAGTTCACAAATAAATATCATTACAACAGCATATCTCTAAGCTAAAATTATACCCGGAATGTGTACTGTGATTTTTATTATTCATCTGAACTATTCAGTGGAAGTGTTTGACAATAGTACCGAATATACATTGCAAGTTTTTGAGGGATATTGCTTGAGATTGTAAATATGCATGGATATAAAAAAAAACAATAAAGTTTAGTCTGATAAGAATCTAAATGTAAATGGTTGAGTCAGTTTGAAGTGATGTGAGTTCCTAGATATTGTTGTGATAACACTGAATCCCACTTCTTTGATACTGTATACACTAAGGAACGATTAACCAAGTAAAATTCATCTATTCTTCAGCCACTGATTAGAACAGGTATAGACACCTTCATGGCATAAATAATGTAGTTATATTTTTTCAAGTCCTTTTAGAAGTTCCTATGGTGTGACGTTTTCTTTTTGAAGGTCTCTGAACGAAACTGAAAATATGGAACTAGAATTCTATCCACTTTGTTAAAATAAGAAATCAAACGTCATAGGATATTTCTATGAATACAATACAGAATACTAGTTTAATTTTATCTACGAAAATCTTAAATTGTGAAAGTCGTTTGTCTTTTTCCATTGGTTTATTTAACCAGTCCTAAATATTATCTTTTGTTTTCAATTTAACCAATAACTGATCATACGAATGACCTTGTAAAACAAATCAATTTATTATTAGTTAAGTCCTAAGATCTCTCATTTTATTCAAATCACCTTGATAGATGGATCCGAATTTTTCAGATCTTTCAGCATGGAACATACGTAATCCCCAGCAACCTAATCCAGGTTATCCTGGTATGTCTTCTGTGGGTTATCCGGGAATGACTCCAGGGGGATATCCAGGATATCCTGATTCGTCTGGGGGTTTATCGAGTTCAAACACAAGTACATATCCAGGAATGTCATCTGGAGGATATTCCGACCTAACGTCAGGAGGTTTCACAAATTTAAACACAACTGGATATCCAGCACCTATAATGAGTGGGTTCGATGGACAGTCAGGAGCAAATTTCAATAATACACCTTTCGTTGCTACTAGTGGTTATCCCGATCAGCGCATGAACAATCCAACTGCCCCATTTTTAAGCCAACAAGGTTATACAAATCCTTCTTATGGCAATAATCCATCTGCTACATCATATCTACCAGGTACAACCTCATTCAATATCGATTATGCAAGTCAAATGCAAAGTCCTTATATTTCTGGGAATCCTTCTTCACAAAATCCCCAAACAAATTATTGCCCAACTATGCCACCACCCGGTGGGAGTTCATTTGGTAGCAACCCAGTGAACACGAATCAAGGATCTGTATACCCGATGTTCAACGATTTTCCTACTCCGATTTCATCTCAGTCGAATGAGTTTTCTGTCTCTTCCAGAATTTATGGGTTTGCAGAATCAGCTCCACACGAAGATATAGTATGTTGCCATTATTATTATTATTATCATTATTATTATTGATATTAGTTGAATAATTGATTACGTTTGAATAGCTCTTAAGTCATTTTCATTGATTGTTCGATGAATCAACTGTGCACATAACTCTCGAGTCACAATCCAAATTTATTTTACTTATGTGATGTATAGACTACAAGTATTTCCACTACTTTCCTCTTCATGACTTCACGGTCTAGGAATTTCAGAAGGTTGATAGATTTCATGAATTTCATGCCCTTAGTTCCCGTATCTTTTAATTTATTGAGATTTTATTTAAGTGAGTGGATTGGTCGAGTGAGCAATTGGTCGGCTTAGATAATCTGAAAAGACGAACATCATTGTGGGAGATATTTTTAAGAACAGACGTAATGTACTAGGCAAAGCTCTCATAATACCTGACCATATTTCCAGTCAATATTTCACTTCTTATTTGATGTAGTTTGAAGAATTTAGCGTTTTTTTTCACTCAAAGCAGTAAATCACACAACTCAGACAAATGTTGGTAGGTAATTCAGTCTAATTGTTAACTTTGTATAAATTCTTTAATATACGCATGTCATTGCAAACATACTAGTCTGCTGTTGACTAATGATTGTCAGACAGTCACATGTGTTTATAGAGTAGTTTCGAATTTATTTTTACCATATAATGCGATATCATTCACAGCTGTTCTAATGTGATAATTAGAAGTATTCGAATTGATTTGCTAACTAAGAATTCACGGAATAGTGCAATTTAAGGCAGGTGGAACCAGATGAGCACAACTGGATGTATTACATTTGTAATTCGTAACGAGCGCGCAATCAAGTACAAAGGAATCATCTGTTAGTACAAATACCAATTCTAAATATGATCAGTCGACTGCGATCACCTGAATTATCTAGATTGAATATTGTAGGGTATCGGAAATATCAGTAATTTATATTGATGGGTTATTTTATGTGAATGTGAAGAAGATTGTTTATATCATATGATTGTCTAAAGTTTACCTCAATTGTTACGTAGTCGTATAGTTGTTAACATGTAAGCAACATTAAGAGACACAATTCTGCATACTATCTATCCATCTCGTCACTTTTTCTGTATTTTAAAATCATTGCCATTTGTATATCTTACAAGTGAGAGAAGGTCTGTAATAGATTATTATGCTAACAAGAGTCATGGAGATGATTATTTAATTCATTTCCACTTGACCAGTGTGTTTAGACTGAGTATAAACTGTACATTCATTTCAATGAATGTAAGGAATAAAAGCAAAAGCAGACGATTTTTTATCTCTGGAACGTTTGGTGAATATATGAACCCTACTAATCAATCATAAATTCCTGTTACCGTTACAGGCTTTTTCTCTCATAAAATCTATTCACTGGTATACTATTATTTTCGGTGAATTCACATTATTCTGGAGTTATTTCGTTTTAATTTGTCAGTCATTAATTTAAGTAAGCAATAAATATTAAATAAACATCAACAACGCTGTAAATAATTCTACACCTTACCTATTTATATTGTTATTGAATCGATTAATTTTAGATGGAGCCAACTTTAAGAGCAGCACCTAATTTTTGTGTTGAACGAGACTGTGAACGTTTAAAAAAGGCTATGGCCGGATTAGGAGCAAATGAAAAAGAGGTCATCGAAGTAATGGGTCATCGATCTGTTGATCAACGTGTAGCAATTGTACAAAAATATAAATCAATGTATGGAAAAGATTTATTTGCCAAATTTAAATCTGAATTACATAGTCACTTAGAAGACTGTGTGATCGCTTTGTGTTACTCACCAGCAGAATTTGATGCAATTGAACTTCGTAGAGCAATGAGAGGAGCTGGTACTGATGAAGATGCACTGATTGAAATTCTTTGTTCAAGGACAAATGAACAAATCAGAAGAATTAAGGATATTTATCCAAAATGTAAGTTATTAATTTATAAAATCATCAAATATATTTTGTATTTATCCTCAAAATTAAGATTGTCATGAACTACTGAATATGGTCAGTAGATGAAAGATTTACTTTGAATAATTTTTAATTATTCAAAAATTATTTGCTATTTTCCGGTGTATTTGATCCTATTTATGAAAATAATCAAACAATATGAACTTGGATCAGCTAAAGGATCATTGAAATATAAGGAGCCACCTGGATTTTTCCACTTTACAACTCATCATATTTTACATTCCTTGTATTTTTAATGCGTTTCCTAGGATCCCTGTCTTAGCTAATAATTTATCTTTTCTAAAATTTGTAAATAAAATTCAATATCAAGGCGATTCACTTAAATTTCACTTATATCCATAGAGAGTGATGAAGTGTAGCACCGAATATCAACAACGGGAAAATACATACTCTTATAAATATTATAATCCGGTTATATTCACTTTCGTCTATAAAGTGTACATCCAACCTTATAGCATTAGAAAGACAAGCTTTTGCCCAAAGAAATTGTTTAGTACGAACTAGTTTTTACTCCTGTTATAAGCGTGGTTTACAGTAATTGAAAAGTGGCTACCACCCCTGGGTGGGCTCGAACCACCAACCTTACGGTTAACACCGAACGCGCTAACCGGTTGGGTTAGACATTAACACCGTTGGATTCCGGCTAACTCAGTGGTCTAGAAGTTAAGCGATCGTGAGCGAGACCAATAGGTCCTGGGTTCGAATCTCGCGCGGCGGGATCGTGGATGCGCACTGCTAAGAAGTTACATACGGGGACAAAATGGCCGTCCAGTGCTTCTAGGTTTTCCAAGATGGTCTAGCTTCAACTGACTCATGATCTCGACCATTGAAATTACTATAATAACTACAAAACCCGCTTCTGATACTAACTGAGAAGTCTTAAATTAGAACAAAACAATTATTCAATGTTCCTTGATCCTTCCTCTGATATTAGTTTGTGGGGAAAACCAGTTTCACACTGTGTGCATCTCTTCATATCATCTATTGTAAGCTTATTGACATACTTCTTAAGCGTCGGTACGACCAATCTAACACACTATATAATTTTGGGAATAACTAATAATAATAATACAATATTATATATATATATATATATATATATATATATATAGTACGTAAAATAGAAACTCCGCCTGTAGCTCTTCTCGAGTTACTGCCGGTCCCAAGTCCGGGTAAAGGAGGAGGGTTGGGCATGGGGTTAGCGTCCTCATCCCGTAGAAAACTAACTCGCTAAAAAAACGCTAACCAGAAAAAAAAACGTAAAATAGAGCTATTCATGTGACGTCTTAGTGTCATGGTTATTAAGCCTTAATCTCTAATCGATGTTACATATAAATAAGTTTGTATTTTGTATTATCGATCGGTAGTTACATTTTTGTTAAATTATCTATTGAGTGTTGAATTTCATAAAAACCAATGGTATTAACTAACAGTATAGATAAATTCATAATATTGAATAAACTTAAGGTTGAATTAGCATGAAGGTCACTTATTTTGTATCTACTAAATAAATAGTAATGAATGTTTAATAGTAATACACTAACAATAATCCATCTTCTAGAAAAAGGTGCTTGAATGTTACCTACCTTTCATTCAAAATATTTTTTTTAAAAAGCTATAATTTATAGCAAGTCAATATACTCAGAGAGGGTTTTTGTGGATATTATAGTAATTTTAATAGTTGAGATCATGAGTCAATTGAAGCTAGACCATCATGGAATCACTGGACGGCCGTTTGATCCTAGTATGGGACTCCTAAGCAGTACACACTCGCGATCAATATACAATAGAATGAATACTAACTACTACGTTCAAATTGATGTGCACTAATTAATGGACAGATTTATTGAGTGTGTACATAGATTGGGAGTAATATCAATCGATGAGGTGAAGAAATCATGCTACTTCTTAAATCGTGGCTTAGTAGTTACAGCAAATTTAAGTCCTAATATGACATATCTAAGTGAATAACTTAGAATGATTCGACAATTGTTCTGTGTGAACATTCTCTGACCTTATTATACTTAACTTTTCTACTGACTTATACTAATCGCTACCATAAAGCTTTTCGGATATAAATAGGAAATATATATTCCTGATGTATAACTGTTCGAAGTTGGATGGCTTATTGATTCTCATTCGGTATTGATGATTTAAAGCATTTCCCTGGACATTGGGTACACATACCTCTGCATATAAACTTTAATTAGCATACATTTATTTATTTGAACTTCGTAGATTATGGAAACCATTGCTATTCTTGAGTTTTTGTCATTTACTCAGTGGATTTTTGTCAATCTTCATTTGTATTATGTCTGGCATTCTTATGACTGCGGAGTACTTGACTGAATTGTGCTTGACACTAAGACCCTGAATCCGACGATGCGTAGTGAAAACCAAAGACTGTTGACAAGGATCTATTTGATTCATAAACGATATGTGAATACACCACTTTTATATGATTTGCTTACAGTTAGACTTGTGTAAATTGAACTGTGCAGTATTTAACACCGATTAATGTGGCATTTGTGCGAACTAATGATTCCTTTGTGCTTGATTCCGCACTTATTACGAATTACAAATATATGTTCATTTGTGCTCATCTAGTTCTATCTGCCTTAAATTGAAATGTTTCGGGAATTCGTAGTTAGCACATTAATTCGAATACTTTTAATTATCATAATTAATCAATAACTTATTATATGAATACGCATTCGGAACATCATCCTGATCGATTTCACACTGACTAAACTTCGCTCATCTAATTCCGTCTTACCGATTTGTCTATTTTCCACGTTTATCCACAAAGCAAACATGAGCTGCTTAAATTTCCGTGTAAGAATTAATTATACTACTCGTCTACGAATACCGAAGCGAAGTTTGAACCTATGGATTAGTAGGTGGAAGTTAATATCTCAACCATCAAGTCACTGCTTTACAATAAGTTTGGTATGTATATGATCTATTTATCTGGTTTATCGTTAATCTTTCAAAAGGCTTCTCATATTGGTATCGCTCCTTGATGAGCTTGAGGTATGCATAATTCGTCTTACGGATTTATTGTTGATTATTCTGTCGTCCTGTCGGAGACGTCGCTGTGCACTTTGGAAACGTCCAAATGATTCTTAGATTTAAGTTACTATTTAATTTAAGTCAATCAGTCGTGTAAACTTCCTTTGCTTTTTAACTATTAGCTAAATTTTTTATATAATTTCAGTACTTAATGGACGTAACTTAGAAAAAGATGTTGACAATGATACTACACATCATTTTAAACGTATATGTATTGCTTTGCTGCAAGCAAACAGAGATGAATCTACATTTGTAGATACGAATCTTGTACGGCGAGACGCGGAAGATCTATATAGAGCAGGGGAGCAAAAAATAGGAACAGACGAATCAAAGTAAGTGTATTGTTTTCCAAGTCGGTATCAGTATAATGAAACGATTTTATAAAATTTAAGTATTTTGAATTGAAAAAAAGAATTAATTGACATAAACGGGATTTTTATACCATTGTATATGTAATTATGACCACTCACAACTATAAATCAGAGTTCATTTTAATTGAATTTAACTTTCTGTACCTGAAAGCATGCTCTAATCATTAATAGTTTGTGATACAATAGAGAATTTTAACGTGATTAGTTTAAACTAGACTGAAGTAACTAAACGTGCAGAACATATCTGGTGTTTGAATCAAATATACTTGACTCAATTACAACTGACTGACTATTGTGGACCGCGTGGTGGCCACTCTAAATTCTACCGATTAACCAACTGCAGATATCCCAGTACGACCCCAATACTGTTCCCCAATCTCCAATATATCAGAACATGAACCGTTAGACGAAAATTGTTTATGGGGTCAGGAGAAGAATAAGAATGATAATTTACAGACAAATGCATATTAATACAGTTAGGACTACCGTGAATATTGACCAACAGGAAAATGACACCATTTCACGTTCGAGGATAGAATTAGACTTAACAGGATAACTTTTGGGATATTTTTCTGAATATTCCAACACTAACAATGGTGTTAGAAGGCCAGAATGCAGTACAATAATATACAGTGCATCCCAATCTCCCTATTTTGGGGTTTTTGTGCCATTTCCCCAAAAGTTTCTATAGCGGCTTCCCCAAAATAGGGAGATTGGAATACTTCTATCAGATTAGTCGCCTTTTTTACTTTATACGTGTTTCAGTCCCAAAATCTTATAAGGGCAGTAAGTATACTATTATCGGATTCAATAAATGTCATCCACCAATAAATGAATGCCAGTTTGATGACTTACACAACATCGATTTTTTTATGACAAACACTTAAAAGTAACTTTTTTAATATCTATACATATCAGATTCATTCACATCTTGGTTACGCGATCCTATGCTCACTTACGAGCTGTATTCAATGAATATACATCACTTGGCAAGCGTAATATGGAAGATGCTTTAAAATCAGAAATGCATGGGCACACACTGAGTGCCTTACTCTCTATTGGTAAGTAATGCTAACCATCATTTTCTTGAAACATAAATTATGAGCTGACAGAGAATGACGACCACATAATTTAAAGTCATTTGACGAAATCTTTAATCACTAGAGTATTGAATGGTAGTTGTATTTAAAGCAATTAGTCCCTTTTATAAATTTCGATAATGTAATAAGAAGACGGAGATTATCAGAACTATGTGATATATTAGCGCAATACATTTCGAACAATCTGATCACGCATATACTTGTTAAGAGCATGTATATATAAAATAAAGGTCAACTAGACTGGAAATGAGGTAAGAGGAGATAATAATAATAATAATAATAATAATAATAATAATAATAATAATAATAATAATAATAATAATAATAATAATAATAATAATAATCTGAACACTATTC